GGTGTTTTCTGTCTTTCTCTCCAGAAGGCCATCCCAGGAGAGCCGGCCCCCGGCCAAGCACAGACACGGCCCACTACCCGTCCTGCAGCTGAGCCACACCGAGACTCCATGAACGGGACCTGTCGATGGCACATGGCGGAGTTCTCTCCAAACACACACACACGCGCCCACATGCACACACACTTGATCTGCTCACATTAGAACATGTTGCAAAATGTGTTTTAATGAGGAACAGTTGGTTTGGTTCTGCTCAAATAAAAGATATCCCTGTAAGAGAGCTGTCGCCTGTCTTACCATCTTGCAGTGCGGCTTCCAAATGAGTTCTTCTGTCCCTGACACCTGCAGCGTTGCTGGAGCCCTGCAACCACGCTCCGCGTGCCAGCAACCTTCCTCGGGTTGACAGACACCTCGTCCCCAGGCCTCACATCATTTCCAGACACCAGGGCATGCAGCAGTTAAGGGTGTCAAGCTACCTTTCCCTGCTATTCTTCCTGACAATTCCTCAAATCGGGAGCTCTTAATGCCATATAAGTAGAAGTGCCCAATGATCTGTAAACTGAAGCTGCTAGTATTTTCTGGTTGTTGAAGTCTATGTAAAGAATGCTACATGCGTAGTCGACCAGCATCACAGTCATCCTGGCATATAACAAGACCGACAAACTTGGGATCAATTGTGCCTTTGCATTTATTTTCAAACATTTGTACTTTAAAACCTCTGTCAGAGTCGCATGATGAGTGCACGTCATTATCGGCTTTTCTGCATCACTTTTAGGTGAGAGTGATTCTGGATCAGACATTCATATGTAATTTTTCCCGCACCCCTTCACTTCAAATGTGTCATTGTGATTAGGTCATTGAAAGTGCAAAGAAAAAATTTTCAACCAGAATATACCTGCACATAAAAAAAAAATCACTATTATTTTGTTTTTTTAATCTTACTTTGGTGATAGCAGAGTAAACTCAGGCTTTGCTAATAAGGCCAAACATAAATTATTCAACTACCATATGATCGAATGCATTTCATATTATATTCTGAGTCATTTTGCCTCAATGCCCGCCAGAGGAATTGCTCTGATGCCCCCCTGCATGGTTTCGGTGCTCCTGCCCTCTCAGGATGCCCTGCGCTCTGACCTGGACTGCGCCCAATGAAAGAAAGAGTTAATCACACCAAACACCAAAGCATGGCGTCTGTCCTCCACCTAATTATTATTTTCTGTAAGATCACAATTCACCCAACTCAAGGAATACGGAAATAGGTCTTAAGCTCTGAACTTCTTTTAATGGATTGAAAATATTTCTTATGTGTAAATTTTTCTCATGCTTGGAGGCACTATAAGAGCTTGAAGTGGAAGCTAACAGGGATGAAGAAAAAAATCATTTGATATCTTGTAACTCAAGATGAATCAGAGTTTAAAATCATCTTTTTTTTCAACTGAGCCTGAACATATGGCCTCTGCAGAAAACCTACTGAAGCCAAATATGTGATCAATGCAAGGAAATTATGTTAAATATACATTATGCCGCACAGAACATGATCAGAAAGGATCCTTAAAATCTCTTGCTGTTGTTAAGTTTGCTTTGAATACAGAATGATTGTCAGGCCTGAAAGCTGTCATCCTAACTGCATCTTGATCCCCCCAAATACCAACTTAAGGAAGCACCTCTCAATGCAAACTGCGGTGTCGATCCCTGTGTCTGGCCAATGGGTTCCAGCCCCAGAAAAGTTCACTATGGGATCAGTGAGACTGAGGAATGACAGTGGAATGTTCTTGGGGTGAAAGGGTTATACCCAACTTTATTCCCACGATGGCAGGTCAATCACTAGAATCCTGTCCCCTCAGAGCAAGTCTGCATGCGGCAAGCTGGTCTCTGCCTCTGGGCCCCTCTGTCCTCAGCACTGCCACCACTCCAGTCTCTGCTCTCCTGCAGCCGTGCAGCAGTCGTGCCACAGTGTTGCCCAGAGCACTGGATGGAGCTCCTTATATAGAGTCAATAACAATGTATTGCCCACATGTGTGCAGTAAGCCAGCCCACCAGGGCCAGGTGGGAATCCTGGACACAGGAACCTTCATTTTCTCCACACCCGGATATGAAGGAATGAAGAAAGGCGGCTGGCTGCTCAATCCTCGCAAGGGCTTCTCAACCCCCCAGTTGCGGGCTTCCAGATGAATTCTATCATCTTCTTTAAACGTCTTATTCTTTCTTTAACTTAAAGCAAATTTCCATTCAAATGGCTTATATTTTCCTAATTTTTGGCTTGTTATATTTACCAAAATAAGTTGCATTGAGAGGTGCTTCCTTAAGTTGGTATTTGGGGGGATCAAGCTGCAGTTAGGATGACAGCTTTCAGACATGACGATCATTCTGTATTCAAAGTACATTTGAGAGAAGAATCGAATCTAGAATTAATAACAGTAAAAAATCTTTGCCAAGAGTGGTATGTTGTCATTTCTTTATATATAGCCTCTTTCATTTCACAAAAATTGAGAGGTTGCAAGTGTTGTCAAAAGGTTTATCATCAGATACCATATCATCTGGAATCTTAGCTGGAGATGCATTTATTTTTACTTCTTCATTGTTATTTAAAGTTTTCCTCCAAAGAAAAGTCATATAGAGAAGGTTTTCTGACTAGCCACACTTAAGGGAAACCCAAGTTATTTACTGTGTCAAAGGCTGGAGACTGCAACTTATGTAGGTCTCTTTCCTGCTAACTAAGTATCAGGATGGACGAGTATACACACACACGCACGCACACACACACACACGCACACGCACACAGGCCTTGAAACAAAGCAGGGACCAAGAGACTTACTTGGATCTGTGAAGTCTATAACCCCAGTGTTCATGATAATGGCAGAAATCTGAACTCATCTCCAAATTATTGGCTGGAGAAAAGCACGAGTACAAACCAAAGCTGCCTCCCAGGTGCAGCAGAGCCGCAGCAGGAAAAGTGAGTCAGGTCAAGGTGCTTTACTAGTGAAGAAGCCTTTTCAATGATTTCTTGAACCGCAACCGACACCATCCTCATTCCGTGCAGTGTACACAGGAAGCCGTGAACCAGGAAGTCAATGAAGATCACAAGTGGGTGTATTGAAGTTAATCTTTAAGTAATCGATTCAACTCAAAATAATTACTCCTAAGGATTTCTTCCAACTAGGTAACCATGTTGGCAGATGTTTGTGTTTTAAATGGAAAAGAAGCCCATGAACTGCATAAAATGGATAAAGGAGATGGCAGGTGCTTTGTTCTGTCTCAAAGAATCTCATAAACGATGAGCAACATGGAAAACATTTCCTACAGATAACCATGATGGCTATTCACCTTGGGAAATTCAGGTGAACTAGTTAAGAAAAATTATATGGTACCTACGTACTATAACTACATTAAACTCAGCCATCTGCAGAAAGTTTATACCTCTATTTTCCTCTCACTTCCAAAGTTCCATTATGCATTCTTCTAAAAACCAATTCCAGGGATGGCCCTTTTCTCTAGATCTATTTTGAATATGGAGAGTTTTTTAAAAAGTAAAAAATAGTGATCCTATCAAAAGTCACTTAAAATAATGAGGATTAATATTAAGAGTCTAATCATTTATGTAACTACAGGAGTGTGGCAGGCAGCCCCTCGGACAGCCCCCTCTGGCCCCTGCTGTTGGAATTCACAGTCTTCTCAGACAGCTGCCTGACGTGCCATCACGTCTTCTCATTTTCACTTGAAATCTATGGGGATAAAATCAGTCCCTGCATTCATTTCCTATTGCTGTTTTAATAAATTGCCAAAAAAATGAGTGGCCTAAAACATCACAAACTGCTCGCCTTATGGTTCTGAAGCTTGTAAAGCCCTGGCGGGTCTCACCGGACTAAGTCAGGGGCGGTGCTGCCTGCCTTCTGGAGGCTGTCGGGGACCGTCTCCGCCCCGCGTTCCTTGGCCCAGGGCCCTGGCTGTCCCCACTCGGCAGGGCACCCGCTCTGGCTGCGGTTCTCCGGCAATGTTGCCGCATTCAGGGGCTCCTGTGAAGACACTGGGCACGCCTGGGGATCACCCTGCAGTCCAGGATGGGCTCCCTAAGGCCAGCCGATCCCCCTGCCATGTCACCCGACACGCTCATGGGTCACAGGGCTGAGGATGTGATGCCCCAGGGGGACAGTGTCGAGCGGCTGGGTACACATACTTCAGAGACCACTACCCAAACATCAGAGGGCTTGACGTTTCCTCATAGGAGACCACAAGAAAAGTCCTTAACATCTACTAACATTTAGATTTGGGATCGTTTATGTGGAGAATGAGGGTTTTTTTGTCTTTAACTAGAGGCAACACCTCCAGCACGATCTAAAAACAGGGCCCTGAGTTGTGGAGGTGGAATGACTGGATCTAAGGAAGAAGCAGATGTGGTTCCTTGGGGGGCCACAGAGAGAGGATGCAAAGATGTGAAGCTCATAAGCAAGAAAGTGGGGCTCTCACTGGGGTACAGCTGACGGAACACACCGAGGGCCCCGCACGGCCCCACTCCGAACCTGTGCCTGTCACATGAGCTCGCATGCCCTCCCTGGGCCTGGACATGTCACTCACTCGGCCACTGGGAGGCCATCAGAGGACAGATACCGAGGCTTGAAAAGCACTTGCACTGTTCGCTGCCCTTCTTTCTCTGCCCTCACCATGAGAACACGTCCGCCAGCCTCTTAGGGGATGAGACACGTGGGGCAGAGGGCAGAGGGCCAGGGGTCGCAGGGAGGCGGTCTCGATCTGCCCGCTGAACTACCAGTAGTCAGTGAGCCCCCTCGGGATCGGAAGGGCTATACAGCACTGACTGCAGGTGGTGAGTGAGCCCCGTCTAGGCAGCTGCACCCCTCAGTGGTTCCATGGGTATGTGTCACCAGGCATTTCACAGTGGCGACAGCTGACTGACACATGGGACGACCCTGTATTTGGTCTTGCACTCATTTTAGTAAGGGATATACATGTATCTCCTGCACAAATACATTCATTCATTCACTCAAGAGTCATTTACTAAGCATTTATTCCATGTTAGACACTGTATTAGACAGTAGAGACAAGGAAATGAATGACACAGTATGCCAGCACTCACGGATTGGGCTTCGGTTTTGGTAAATGGAGAAAAGAAACAAATAAATACTTGGTATGTCTGATGGTGAGCTGCATCCCAGAGGAAAACAGCAAGGCTGGGGTAGCAGGGTGTCATGGATGGTGGCGTCTCTCTTGCAGGGGTTACTCAGGAGGGCTGCGCTCATAAGGTGGTGTTTCAGCAGAGACTTGAATGAAGATGACAGACATTTCATGCATCTTAGAGAGGCACACTCCAAGCAGAGGGACTAGCCAGTGGAGAGGCCCTCCTGACGGGAGCGGTCTGACTGCCCAGCATGCTGGACGGGGAGAAAGGTCACTGATGATGCCGCAGAGCCAATGGGAGCAGGGGCAGGGCGAGGGCAGTAGGCCTCACAGGCCATTGCCACCCTGAGTGGGATGGGAAACCCTACTGTTGTTGTGGTTTTTAAAAATTCTTTTTATTGTGCTAAGATATATGTATATAATGAAATTCAATATTTTTAATCATTTGACGTGCACAATTGTCATTAAGTAAATGTCATGTTGTACAACCATCACATCACCACTGTCGATGTCTAAATTTTTTTCATCCATATAGAAATTCCGTAAATGTGAGAAATTGTCCATCTCCGTCCAACCTCTGATAACTTCTAATCCACATTTTGTCTCTATGAATTTGCCTGTTCTAGATCATTCATATAAGTGGAATCATATGATAATTGTGCTTCTGTGTCTGGCAAATTTCACCGAGCATAATATTTTCATCTATTGGAACTTCCTTCCCTTTTACGGATGAATAAAGCTCCACTGTGTGTTTATATTCCCATCTTGTTTATCCATGCATTTGTTGACAGAGACTTGGATTGTTTCTACCTTTTGATTATCGTGAATAATACTGTTGCCTGTTTTCAATTTTGGGTACATACACTGCATCCCACGGAATCCTAGCAGGTTCTGAGCAGAAGGGCGATGAGATGGGCTTTATATGGACAGTAGGACAGGGAGAATGATCAGGCAGTTTGTTGGTGTTTATTTTCAGATTCTAGTGCAGAGCAGAGAAAAATCACCTCCCATAGAATATTTAAAAGGAAAAGATCGACCGCGAAGAACCCCGTCCTCTGCATAGATGCCCGGTGGTTGTTCAGGGGAACTGACTTCATCTGAAGTGTAACAGAAGAGAAAAAGCCACCCCGAGTCAGTGCAATGGGGAAACCTCAATCACAGCCACAAAGTATCTCAGCTACACTTTACACTTGCTGTTGCTGGTTATAAATATACCTGAGAAGATTAACGATCAAGTCCCGTTCTCAGGGTATATATGTGATTTGGGTAAAACATAGCTCATGCCCATGGGCACAGCACCACTAGGTTGGTTGACCAGGGAAACCTTCGCTGTCACTGGGCCACCAGTTCCATGGCGTGTGCTGGGTGGTCGCCTCCCCTGTGCCGCGTGCTCCTGCGCTCTTGCAACACCTCGCTTCCTTGTCAAATCACCCTAGCAGACAGGTTGATACTCCCTATTTATGAGGAGGAACTTGGCTAGACAGGGCAAGTAACCAGCCGGCAGTTACAGTTACTAAGGGACAGAGCCAGAATTCCAAAGCCACCATGGGATGCCAAAGCTCGTGTGCTGAAGGGGCGCTCTGTACTTCTGAAAGGGATATCTGCGAGAAAGGAGCCCCTAGAAGAAGAATGCCAGTCTTGTTGACATCCAGCAGCAATGTGCACAGGCTTCGTTGGTCCTCTGGATTTCTCTCTCAAGCGGTGGCAGATTTGAAAGGCGCTCTTCCCATTTTTATAGGTTGACTTCCTACCAGGTAACTGTCAGGTTGACATACGGCTTCACTATTTATGCTGCTCAGTTAATTGTACAGAATTGCACTGGGAAGATACAGACAGGAGAAAATGTTTCTCCAAGGCTCTTTAAATTTAAAACATTGCAAACTATGTTATAAAACAAAGATACTTGTGGTTCTGTCATTTTAGGCATAACTCAAAGTCAATACTCTGAGTATGACACAAGAAATAAGCTGTCACTTTCATCATTAGAAAGAAAAAACAAATAAACTAAAATTTACGATTGGAAGTTATGCATGGCTCTAAAGTACTTATTCTTACAGTTCCCATGCAAAGAATTTAATTAGCAAGATTCTTATCAGCTTAAAAAGGGGCTTTTGCAATCTGCTTATCAAGATGTCAAATGACTTCAAAGAGCATGTTGGGTGGCCTATGGTTTTTTAGCCCTTGAAGAATATACTACTAATGTCCTAAGTCAAAGTAACAGAAGATTTCAACCTATTATGTACTCTCAACATCCCTGCCTCTGCTTGAGAAACCATCACTCCACCCTGTGTTTTGTTGAAAACCAAGTTCATTCAACAAATATATCCTGAATGCCAGCTCTGAGCTGGGCACCAACGCCAGGGCCGGAAGCTGCTGGTGAAGAGTCAACAGACTGACCTTGTTCACTCAGGTGACTCTCACAGTTATGCTCCTGTCCAGAAACATCCCAACATGCACGGCAGAAATGTCTTGGATTCACCCGTATCTTCTCTTTATTCATACCGAAGTATGTACTTTGGTTAGGTGGAGCCACGTGAATACTTCTGGCCAATGGGGGGAAAACTGAAATATGACACACCATTCCCCACTGAGGCCATGAAAAGCTGGCTCTCCAGCAGTTCTCTTCAAGTAGCCAACCTGGGTCCCTGAGTGACTGTGTGGAATGGGCCTCCTGGTTCCAAGATGCCCACTAAACGGCACTAGACGTGTTGTAGTTCGAGCAGGAAATAAATTGCTATGTTAAGCCTGAGATTTTAGTTAATCTGTTACTGTAACACAGCCTAACACTTCAGGGACTGACTGACACATGTGCATCATTGTCTACTGTGTTAGGTATAAATGCTTCTATCTGACTTCAGAACCCAGAGGTCCCCTCTTTATAGTGAACATAATTTTCTATCTCCTCCCAACTGCCCGTATCTGCTCCCAGGTGCTCAAATAAAGCTCGATTTATTTCTGTGCATTCTGTCGCTTGACTTACGTTCCTTTCGCACTGAGGAAAATTTCATTTTTGATTGCCTGATTAAGTCCTTCCCCCCTACCTTCAAAGTCCAGTTCTTCTCCAACCACATCCACAGAACCCTCCGTAGTAGAGATCATTTGAGCACCCTCCTCACATGGGCGCTCTCCCTCACTAGTACAGACTCCGGGGAACATTTCCCACCTTCCCTGGTCCCTAGGGCACAGGCCTGAGAGCCCGGTCCCACACGCAGACGCAGTGCAGGTGAGGCATGAGTGCGAAGGAAGCTCCAGGGGCCCACGGGGCTTGGAAGCTCCGCCTCCTGGGCAGGGGTGCAGAGGTGACCCCCTCACTGGCAGCTGCTGGGTGGTCTGGGTGCCCTTTCTGGAACACACAGCAGAGTCCACTCAAAAGTCCTTCCAGTAATTCTGTGGATGATCTAGTAAACCTTTTTGTGCCCAATCTCATATATTCTGATACTTCAAGTCTTCAGATGTTTGCTATCTTCCAATCCCTGTGACCTGACTGTATCTAATTCAACACTTGATATATTATAGATTTTGTTTCCTAAGCACGTATCTTCTCTTCCCAACAAGATTTTCATCTCTTCAAGGGCAAGGATCCCACCTTAGACTCTGCACTCCCAGCAGTGTGGGTCTACTTCAGGAACTGATAGGATGACGGTATAATTTATCAGCTAAGCCAGGATACTTTGAGCAGTGTTAAGAGGGTGCAATTATTGACTATACCAGGACAATAGGTATAAACCAGGACTGTCCCAAACTGAGTCACAGAGCCATAGCTGTTGACTGAGTAAAAACAGAAAGACATTTGAAACAAAAGTAATGTAGTTATAATGAGAGCACCAAAGAGCAGTTCTGGGCCCCTGGGTTCGAACTGTCATAGGTGACAATACTGTCCTGGAGATTCCCTAGTCCCAGCCAAGAGGGACAGGAAATTAGACTCAGCCTTCCAGGTCTGGGGGCTGCTGAAATACAGCTTTGGTTTTCATAAGGAAGCTCTTGCCATTTGGTGCTTTTATGAAGAATATATTTGTTCTTAATGAATTCATTTTAGATTTGGTAAAAGTCATCCATACACTTTCATCAGAGCAATTCTTGTGCGCAGGGCAGCTGGTATACCTGCATAAGGCCCTCTTCCTCACCCTGGACCCTCCCTCCAAGGGTCCCAACAGGTGGGCAATATTACCAGAAGAACAACCAGACTAAAGTCTCCAAGGCCAAGATGACATTCATCATTTCTATCTCCAATATTCAGTCCACTGTCAATACGTTCCCTGCACTGTCAGGCGTTCCCTGCACATGGCATGTGTGATTCCGTCTCGGGGGCCGTGGTCTTTTCTTTCGCCCTCAGCCTCTCCTTGCTCTGGGAGTCTGCCCAGGCTCCCTTCTACTCCTTCCCTGCGGTGTGGACAAAACACACGGAAGTAGGGCAAGTGCCCGCCCAACCCCATGTTGATTATGCCTCCTTGTGAGTGTGCACAGCAGTGTGCAGAATGCTCCATGTGTCCCGGCTGCCCTAGCCCAGGTAGGGTGATAAACTGAAGAATACAGGTAAAAAGAGCCTTAATCCCAAGCACACAGCGGAGGCTCACTAAACGGCAGCTATTATTACTATCGAGGCACAGTCGGCCTGGATGCACACAGACCCCTCACTGGGCCCCAGCTACAAGCCTCCAGAGAACCATCAGCAGTGACCCGACAGCTGGTGAAGCAGGTGAAATGAAAGCTCTTTAGCGTCAGCTGGCCCTCATGGCTCCCGGATCGGCACACAAGGGACAAAGGGGACCACAAACACGGCCCACACATTCTGAACTGACAGGATCCACACCAGTTCAGCGGGAATGCCCAGTAAAACCCAGCTTTACAGCACAGAATAAAAGCTGTATGTCTAGACTGGGGAGCCCAAACATGTCCTAACGGGTCTGCAAAAGAAACTAATTAGATGCAGTATGAAAGGAAGAAATGGACTAAATATTAAATGTACAATGGTTGTAATTGTTTGTGACACCGATTTGACATATGGGCAGTGAAGAACCCAATCTTACATAAAGTTAGAAAAGAAGAAACTAGAAAAACTGCTTGGGATTGGAGCCAGTATTTCGGGGTGGAAGGAAAAGTAGGAAGGAACACACCCTCATTTGCTTCTAACACGGTTAGCTGA